GGGATGCAGAGTTCTAAATATATTTGTCAAGTCCATCTGGCCCAGTGTATTATCCAAGGCCATTGTTTCTTTATTGATTTTCTGCCTAGATAATCTGCCCATTGTTGTAAGTGGAGTATTAAAGTCCCCTGCAATTACCACATTCTTACCAAGAAGATTGCTTAGGTTTGTGATTGTCTCATATATTTGGGTGCCTTCGAATTCAGTGCATAAACACTCATAACTGTTAGCTCTTCTTGATGGATAGACACTGTAATTATTATATAATGCCCTTCTTCATCTCTTGTTACAGTCTTTAGTTTAAAATCTAGTTTGTCTGATATAAGTGTGGCTACTGCAGCTTTCTTTTCACTTCCAATAGCATAATAGGTAGTTCTCCATCCCCTCACTTGCAATCTGAAGGTGTCCTCAGGTCTACAAGGAGTCTCTTGTAGACAGCAAATAGGTGGGTCTTGTTTTTTTTTTTTTTTATCCATTCTGATACCCTATGTCTTTTGATTGGAACATTTAGTCCATTTATATTCAGTGTTGTTATTAAAAGACATGGTTTTAGAGTCATTGTGATGTCTGTAGTTTTCATGCTTGTAGTGATGTCTCTGGTCCTTTGTGGTCTTTGCAACATTTCACTCACAGAGTCCCCCTTAGGATCTCTTGTAGGGCTGTTTTAGTGGCAATGAATTACTTCAGTTTTTGTTTGTTTGGGAAAACCTTTATCTGTCCTTCTATTCTGAACGACAGACTTGGCTGCATATTTTTCCTGTTCATTACATTGAAGATTTCTTGCCACTCCTTTCTGGTCTGCCATGTTTCAGTAGATAGATTGAAACTACTACCCTTATGTGTCTACCTTATGTGTAGGTTAAGGCCCATTTGTCCCTAGCTGCTTTCAGAATTCTCTCTTTATCTTTGTATTTTGCCAGTTTCACTATGATATGTCATGCAGACGATCGATTCAAGTTATGTCCGAAGGGAGTTCTCTGTGCCTCCTGGATTTCAATGTCTGTTTCCTTCCCCAAATTGAGGAAGTTCTCAGCTACGATTTGTTCAAGCACACCTTTGGTCCCTTTCTGTCTCTCTTCTTCTTCTGTAACTCCTATGATACAGATATTGTTCCGTTTCATTGAGTCACTTAGTTCTCTAATTCTCCCCTTGTGATCCAGAATATCTTTTCTCTCTTTTTCTCAGCTTCATCTTTTTCCATAATTTTATCTTCTATTTCACCTATTCTCCCCCTGCCTCTTCAATTCTGGCTGTCACCACTCTCGTTTATTTTTCACCTCGTTTACAGCAATTTTTAATTCATCATGACTATTTTTTAGTTCCTTGATTTCTGCATAATAGATTCTCTGCTGTCTTTTAGGCTGTCTTCCAACTCCAGCAGTTAATCTTATGACTATTATTCTAAATTCTTGTCCAGTTATATTGTTTATATCTTTTTTGATCAATTCTTTAGCTCTCATTTCTTCCTGGAATTTCTTTTGAGGGGAATTCTTCTTCTGTTTCATCATTTTGGCTACTTTTCTGTCCCTTATGTGTTTTGAAAGCTTGCTACGTGTCCTGTTCCTGCAAACACTACTATATTAAAGAGGGATCATACACTGTCCAGGGTCTGGCCCTTCAGGAGCTGTATTTGGAGAGTGTTACTTGTTCTTTGTTGTTGTGACTCTGGCTGCTTTATCTCCCTACTCGTAGTGATGTTTTGAACCCTCCAATAAGTGTGCTTTGATTTGTTCTTGAAGTAGCCCTGGAAAGTAAAACAAAGAAACAAAAACAAACAGAAAGCAAAAACACTCAAACACACACAAACAATCAAAAATCCCAAAAACAAAAACCAGGAACACCAGCTACAAGTAAACAACAGGTGGAGGCAGATAAGGAAGAGCCCTTATCCCATACATAGAGAGACATGACAGGGACGGGGAAAATAAAGGGTAAAAAAGGACCAGAGAAACTATATGGCTTAATCCAGGGAGAGAGAAAGGAAAATAAAGAAGGAGGCAGGGAAAAAGAAAAATAAAATAATTTATCTAGACAGAGAAACTTTAAGGCTTAACCCCAAGGGAGAGAAGGAGATTAAAGAAGGAGGTGTAGAACATGTATCAAGAGAATGGATTAAATATGTCTGCTTAAACAAACTAGCAACCAACAACCAGAGTAACTAGACTAGAGGAGGGACGCGATAAGAAGGAGAAAAGGTAGGAAGAATGTATCTACATAGTAAGAATTGTCTGAGAATTAAATCAGGCAAAACAGCAGCGCTGGTCTGGAGGAGGGGCTGTCTGGTTCCTCCCTGTCAATCCTGCTCCAGGAGATGGGCAGTTACCCAGCGCCAAGGGGCGTGGTTTGGTGTGGGCGGGTCCGCCTCCATTGTGGCCCCCTGTCTGTCCCCAGGAACTTCTCCATGGACAGAGTGTCCCAAACTACTGTGTTCGACCCATCTTCACTGTGGTGTGGATGCAAAAAACGGGGTTTGTCCTGCTCCGCCGACTCCCATGCCCAGTGCTCAGCTGGGATTTAAACTCTGGCTCTGCGCCCCCCACCCCCAGTCCACCCCCTAGTACTGGGAAAGCACCTGTCCATGTTGCCCTCTATTGCAGGCAGGCTTTGTCCTGTCCCACAGCACTCCAGGGAGGGGACCACTGTCTCCCACTGCAGACGGCGCTCCTGACCTAGCCACCGAGCCTGGGCTGGCTCCTTTCCTCCCCTTGTGGGAGAACAGGACAGTCGGCCCCAGTCCAGAAAAGGCCCGCAGTCAGGGATTGGGTCTTTGTCGCCGGGTCGGTGGTTTTTCTCTCCCCCAGATACAGTCCTGTGCTTCCCCAGCCGCTCTTTCTCTTCCCTTTGTCACTCCGCAGAAGAGAATCCCTCTCCTCCATTCGTTTTGTCTCCCCCAGTTCTCAATCATGCACCTGTGGCCCGTCAGGTTGTCCTGGTGGGTCTCTGGACGTGAGACTGTCTCTTTTCCTCCCCGACTCTCAGAGTTAAAAGTCCTTTAGCTTCAACAGTACTTTGAAAGAGGAGGGAACGGCGGGTCCCCTCACTTCTTCACCGTGTTCCAAGATCGATGTGGTGTATTTTTGAATATTTATTTGGAATGCCAAATTGAGCTTGTATTCCCGGGATAAACACTACATGGTGATGAAAAAAAAAAAATTATTGCTGGTTTCAATTTGCTAATATATTAAGACTCTTTTGAAAACAAATGTTCATGAGGAATATCCATATATACATCTTGTTAATGTTTTAATGGGATTTTGGTGGCAGGGTTTTTGACATTTTCACGTACGTTGTGCAGTGGTAACTCCTCCTTTATTTCCACAAAGAATTTGCTTAACAGTAATAGTATATTTTTCTTAAATCATTTAGTAAACTCACCAAAGAAGCAATCTGAGCCTAGAATTATAGTTTTTATTTTGTCTGAATTAATCTCTTCAGTGCTTATAGGACTTTTTCTGATATTCTTTTCTTCCTTTGTAAGGTTTGGTAAAATGTTTTTCAAGATATTTTTTTTGCCATTTTAACTAAGTTACGAATTTAATTGCATGAAGTTATTCATCATATCGTTTTATTATTCCTTTTAAGATTTGTTGACTTGCTCGACTTGCAATAATACTGCCTCTTTTGTTCCTGATATCAATAACTTGTATTTTCTCACTCTTTTGCCCCATCACTTTTCCTATGGGCTTTATTAATCTTTCCAAAAAAAACCCATTTTTGTCTTGGTTAATTTTGTCCATTCTTTTGTTTCAATCTTGTTATTTTCCACTTCACTTTTATTGTTTTCTGTCTTCTATTTACTTTGATTTGTTTTCTCTTTCATACCTAACTTCTTAATGTGAAAGCATAGATCATTAACTTTGTACCTTTCTTTTGTGCATTCGTTTAAATCTTAGAATATCACTGACAAGACTGCTTTAGATCTGTCACAGAATTTGACATAGCATTTTATTCTGCTCAAAATGGATATAAATTTGAAAGTAATATGTTTATGCATTAAAATAGTGTCTCATAAGAGAAAATGCAGATAAACATCAAAAGAAAAATTAGCTAAAACAAAGTATGAAATGCTTAAGATTTAAAAAGTAGAAAAACTATATTCATGCTGGTTTGGAGAAAAGCCTGTGATCCTCTTCTTAGCACCAGGAAAGCTATGGAACTTTAGAGTGATAAAAATGGAAAACAAAATCACTTCCTTTTTCAACACATTAGTTAATGTTAGGAATGTCACCTAGGACCTCTCATGTTTGAATTTAAGTATAAGATTTAAATAAAAATTGGGAGTCAATTATATCAATAGTACATATTTATCAACATTTGCACCTTCAAAACGTATAATGTTTTCAAATAACGCAATTCATCAAAAATCAAGAAATACATAATTCTAATCCTGACTGTAAAAATTACTGCATTGTGAAAGCTGAGTTTAAGACACCCATTACTCGTACTTAGGTTTCTCGTGAGAATCTGATGTGAAGCTTTTTAGTTTCAATTTCACCAATTTAGATAGCATCAGTGAAGGTACTTCCAATTATAGCATATGCCTAGAACATTTATAAAGAAAGAGCCCATGCAAACTTTATTTGCATCATGGAAAATGATGATAACTACCAATATGATTTGCAAGTAGGTTGAAATGTGACAGTGAATGGAACTTTGTAGATGAACCAAATTCTGCACAATTGTAAGTATGGGTCATAAGCATAGGTCACTTGGGATAATGGAATTCAATAGCAGTTCTACAAGGTTGTATGTTTTCATTAATAAAGCTTCACATTGTTTCTGAAATCAAAGATAAACACATGGGTATCCTTCAGGGTCCCATTTTAGTCACTTAGCCTACTTGCAAAACTGTGGCTTTGATAGAAGTGAGGTAAAAATGTATTTTAGTAACTGATTTCATGGTATTATCGAGGATCTGGAAAAATACAATGTAGAATGCAGTCTAGCATATTTTGGTGTTCTGACCAGTGGGGTGTTGTGATTTTTTTTTTTTCCTGCAGGTGCTCCAAGTGACCAGAGCAGTGGTACCTCCTCTCCTCTTTGTGACAGTGGGTTGCATCTCAACTATCATCCCAACAATACAGTAAGATGGCCAAGGCATATTCAGACTAATAAGGAGATAACACAAAGAAAGGCGGAAAATATGTGTGTGTGTGTGTGTGTGTGTGTGTGTGTTTTCCTATTTTCCAAAAACTGCTATCGAATCTCATTGCTCTGATATAGTTGAAGTCCTTGTTTGCTTCATCCTTTAAGAATTAGGATAAACCAGGGGACATCTGGGTGACTCAGTCGGTTTAGTATCTGACTCTCGGTCCACCTCACAAATCTCATGGTGAGTTCGAGCCCTGCAGCTCTGTGCAGGCAGTGTGGAGCCTGCTTGGGAATCTCTCTCTCGTCTCTGTCTCTGCCCCTTCTCTGCTTGCGTGCTCTTTCTCTCTCAAAATAAATAAGTAAACTTCAAAGAATTAAGGTAAACCAGGAAAAAATAAATAGGTCAATTATTAATTTTTAAAAATTTTTTGATGTTTTTGTTTTTTTTTTTAAGAGAGAGAGAGACAGAGCACAAGCCGGGGAGGAGAAGAAAGAAAGGGAGACACAGAATCTGAAGCAGGCTCCAGGCTCCAGGCTGTCAGCACAGAGCCTGACTTGGGGCTTGAACTCATGAACCATGAGATCATGACCTGAGCTGAAGTCGGAGGCTTAACGGACTGAACTACCCACGTGCTTCAGTCATTTATTTTTTAATGTCCTTTTTCTCCTCTCAGGTCTGCATTAAGCCTTTTGCACGCTAATGAGACTAACTTCATGAGATCACATAACATCATGTAATCATTTTATCATAGTGCATATTATACGTAATTTCACGCTCTAAATGATTTGACATGATTTTTATCATTTTTCCTTTGAAATCATTTAGCTGAAAGTAGCTGTTTAATTTTCCTTTTGGTAAGATTTCTTAACGATCTGCCGGCATACCAGGAAATTAACACAAAGCGAGAAAGATCTGACATCATATTAAAACATAATGAATGTTAAACCACACATGTATTTAATCACTGATAAAATTGGCATGTTTGTTTTATATACATTTAATAAAACGTTAAATTTCCTTTTCCACTTGTAGTTTGGGGCAAGCAAGTTTTTTTTGTTTGTTTTTGTTTTGTTTTGTTTTTTAATAAACATGTTTGAACTCCTTATATTTCACCCTTCAAAACGTTCACACATCTTCAAGTCAAAGCAGTTTTCTCAGGTTACGTGCGAGTCGAACTTTCCGCTGGGATCACAAACATGAAGAGCAGCAGAGCAGAGGTTAAGCAGGAATTCATTTTCTATTCTGCATATTAGGTTATAAAACACCTGTAGCTTCTGACTTGGATGGTTCGTCTTCCACTTGAAATTCTTGCCCTAATTGTGGCGTTTTACTCTTTTGAGCATCTCCAACATTCATTGTACCTCACTGCGTCACTACTGTTCTTTCCCTGCGTGCCTTAGGTACCCGAGTCCTTTTATAGTTTTATTATTCTTTGCTCCTAAAGAGGAACCCTTGGCAAGACCAAGGGTCACCTCTATCTGCATCAACCGAGCACATCTGGGTGTATTTAATCCGATCTCCTCTCTTATTTTTGTTACCAGAGGAATAATTGTCACATTCTAGATGACATTTAAAACACTGATCTTCAGAAGGTGGCAAGATCTGAGTAGTTTCAACAGTGATTTCCTAATGAGTAAATAAATAAATACATTCTGTGCCGCCATTACCACACTTCTCAATTAGTTGACTTCCAGTCTCCAAACAAATCTTCACGTCTTACCTCAGGAACCACTCACCTTCTTTCCTTACGATCTAGATGCTCTTGGTGCTTCTGATGCCCTTCCAGTCCCCTTTACTGGGCTGATGCACCTACTACCCCAGCTGCTGTGAGTGCTGGTTACCTGCCCCCCAAACCGCCCCATTCACTGCTGACCTCTCTTGTAACAAGGACCCTGTGCCTAGGAATCTGGAATCACCACTCCTGGGGGATGGCTGCAGCCTACAACTTGAGGCCTCTCTTCAGGAGTCCCCATCTCTGGCGAAGTTGTCCCTGTCTCATCCACTGCTTCCCTCAGTCCTCACAGGTTTCTCCTGAGAACTTTCCCTTCTCATCTCATTGACCCAAAGTCCCCATCTTAGCTCTGCTCCTCAGACATAAAGGAAGAGCTCCTTGACTTCAGAGTGGAGGAAGCTGTTTAGTCATATTTTTATTCTAATTCTTGTCCTTGTACCCTTGGATTCCTTTATGATAATGAGAAGTAGAGAAGTCACCATGGGTGGGCTATAGGTAAGAATCAGTCAGGTTTAACTTATCCCACTGACATACATAAAAACATGTATGAAATTGATTTCATGAGCTGTGCCTGTATGGTGTTGCTTGCTATTATGTCCTCCCTTAGAAAGGCATAATTAAAACAAGAAAATCACTCAGTAATTCTATAACATGACTGTTCCAAGTAAACCCAGCTATATAAAATAAAAAAAAAAATTGTCATAAATTTTCCTTACAGGGATTATGTCTTTCCATTTTCAAGAGGCCTTTTGTTTTGCTTTTAGCTTAGGGTTGAACATTATTTTGACATCCCTGAAGATCTTTAAGCGCAAGCGAATTCATGATACTCACCATGATTTTAGAGAATAAAGATCCAAACATATGTAAATTGACATAGAGTGCATTAAATTTAAAAAAAAATCAATGTGTTTCAATTAAATGAATTTTTGCTGAGAACCTACTTTTTGGAAACACTTCTTTAGGTACCATGGGGAGAAGTTAATTGTGTTTCCTGACCCAGAAAGTTTAAAATTCAGATCTATAGACAAATGCATAAAATTAACTATGATAGAAGCAGAAAAAGAACAACGGATCTAGCCTTCTGATATCAGAGACAAGGGCTCCTAGAGACTTGGAATATCGGACTTGATTGAGCTCAACAAACATTGAGGGACCACAAACCAAATTTTGTTCTGATGCCTATCATGGAATAAGGGTTCAGGCCCGATCAGCTCATACCGACTTACCCAGCCGGGTGCTGTCCTGTGTTTCTCTTCTATAAGGTGTGGAGAGTAGAGGATATTGCTTCTCAAAGATTTATAAAATTAGGAGCAGTCAAAGGCATGCTTTCTTGTGACCCATCAGTAAATAAATGAACAGTGAGAACTGGGAAGGCAGTATGTGCTATGAGACATATTTTCCACAGAATGTGTGCACGTTATAAATAGTCTCCTGGAGAGAAACATTCAGTTCTCTGATGTGTCTAAATCTTTAAGTCTATCCTAGACGAGGCAACCCATTGTTTTAATTCCTATGCCTTACTTATTCTCTGAAGCAAATTTTGAGTAAGTAGGCATGAGTTTTGTTTTCTGAAACAGCATTTTAAGCATATGGGAAAATATTTTAACATTACCCCATCTTCTTACTAAAAATATAGTCTAGTCCTTATAAGGACCCCAGGTCACCAATTTTAGGGGATAAAAGAGTCCTTTGGTTTGCCAGCCAATATGAAAAAAAAAAAAAAAAAAGAATTTGTTTTGTGTCCACCAGAAGACTTAAATTCAGATAATTAGCTAACCAAATTCTGAGAAATGTTTTTCATAACTGTATACCTTTAATGAATATTTTTTTTATGCCAAGTCCTTAACAAAATCCGGATCAGCATTTTGCTCTGTATTCGATTCTATTTTGGTATGATGCTATTCTTGAGTGGCAATTGCATGGCAATATACTTTAAAATGTGTTAACTTTGGGGAAAAGAATCTATTTTAAAGCAAAGAATATCTAAATATTACTTTTCCATTCACATTATTAATATTCTAAGAAACAACATTCTTGACATTGAAGAACAAAGCTCCTGAAAAGTAGTTATGATCCTTGAAATTAAAAAAAATGTTGGTTCTAGCTCATATATAATTAAAAACAACCCTAAGACTACTATTAAAGAAAAAACTAGAAAGAAAATTTTATTCAACTTTCACAATTAAAGATAAATAATCTTCAAAGAGCACTATATATTCCATTATAAATAAAAGATCTATAAAATGAAATTAAAACTGAAAGTTTCAGTAGCTGAAGTGGGACTTATTTCATATGTTTTATAAGGAGGCAATATAAAAGAAAGTGACAATGGCAACTTTGTTCATGAAAGTATCAAGGTGCAGTGCTACATCAAAGACGTGTCAAATTTCACACGTATTTTCATACTTGAAATATTTCATTTCATATGTTCATAGAAGACTATGAAGTCATATAAAACTTACCATACTCGTGTGTTGGTGATTACCATTGTCCTCAATAATCCATCGCTTCAGTCATTATGTTCTGTTACGGTTTCTATGTCATTTGTTTGAGGAACATATAAAGTGAGGGGGACTATTTGTACTTTTCAAGAAAGAAGAGGAACCATCATCTTTAAATAATTTGCTAGAATCATGTAGCCAGAGAGTGAAACAATCATGACAAAAATTCTAATTATTCTTTGCATAGTTTCACTTGCAAGTATGACTGGTAAATGTTGTGCGATGAGAGACGTGATGGCCCTAGAATCGTAAAGATGTAGAGCCGAGTGGATCTGCCTAGCACTGTCATTTGCAGCCTGGCTGACTTGGGTCAATTATTTACTGTAAAATTTCTTAGGAGAGCCCCGTGTGCATGGGGTCCTGTGAGTGGGTTCCACACATACTCTGATATGTGCTTAATAGTCATTGGTAGACCCTGGGACACTCTCATTCCCTATAGTCTGCTCTGACCACAGAAACCTAGTCTACGTACCCTAGTATGTTACTCAGGATCATTATTTCTTCGAGTGCCTTCATGCAGAAAAGGTGGGGAAGCAATAATTTAATGGCTTAAAAAAAGCTTTAGGTTTTTCTTTTGTAAGAGGAGCCTTTTAACAAGCTTATCGTTGGAGATAGGCACAATAAAACACAGATCATTTAAATAAATTGCTCCGCGGTTAAAGGACTCGTCAGTTGGGAAATTGGCATTTTGGAACCCAGGTGATCTGATTCTGATTCCGAGCCTGAGCCTTCGTCACCCTGTTGTATACTGCCACCTAAGTGACCTCATTTCACATGGTGACCGTCTATAACATGAGACATCAAGGCCAGAAGCAGGATTAACATGAAACCTACGTTTGTGCCTTTGCAGTCACAAGATAAGCATTAAAAACTAGGTGTCTTGGAGACCAATCACCAGTAGGGGGCCCCTCACTGGATGGTCTTAGCAAGGCTGCCCTTGCCTTCCTACCCAGTGTCCTCAACAACTGGAAGGATTTAGTGGATATTTATTGGCACAGTGGGTGCATTAACATAATAATGCCAAACAGCATGTGACCTTTAGTGAAAACAGTGGAAGCAATTTTGAAGAAATTAATACCTTAAAATGTTAGAGGTGCTTGACTGGCTTAGTCAGGGGATCCTGGGACTCTTGATCTCCGAGTTCTGGGTTTGAACCCCCTGTTGGGTGTAGAAATTACTTAAAAATAAAATCTTTAAAAAAATGTTAATGATAATATTGAGACTAATGGAGTTTCAAAATCTAGACTAAAATAGAATTTCCTAACATCATCACTCAAAAAGTATAGAATCTATAGAACATAAAGAAATCAGATCATGCCTTGGCCCTTACAATCCATGCAAACTTAAATATCAAGATTATTCCAGGTACTGCTGCCAGGAAGAAATTGTAAAGTAAAGCTGAAATAATGAAAGAAGCGTGGATCATCATCAAGTGTGAAAAAATCAAATTTTATTCAAATATATGTTTCTTCTATACATAAGGAAAAAGACCCAAAGTTCTTTTTTTTTTTAAATTTTTTAATGTTTATTTATTTTTGACAGAGACAGAGAGACAGAGAAAGAGAGACAGACAGAGACAGAGCATGAGTAGGGGAGGGGCAGAGAGAAAGGGAGACAGAATCTGAAGCAGGCTCCAGGCTCTGAGCTGTCAGAGCCCGACGTGAGGCTCGAACTCACGGACCGTGAGATCATGACCTGAGCCGAAGTCAGACGCTCAACCGACTGAGCCACCCAGGAACCCCAAAAGACCCAGCCTTTTAATGAAACTTAAAATACATGTAATTTTAAACCAGCAGTGGTTGATTTAACATCAATTTAACACAATATAAGAACATACAAACATTTTATAAACTTGAAGTTAAAACACTGGACAGAGATTTCCGTGAGTAGTTTTTAAAAGTTGTTTTATAAGAAATTCATTCTACTCAAAAATATTTACAAGTAACTGATAAATTACGAGCATGTATAACACTGTTTAGCGCTTAGCCAATACTCAGAAAATATTGGGTAATTGAATGAACGACAACTTATTCTTATATTTGTCACTCATTACTTCCTTGTAACTTGGCCCATATTTCCATTCCTGAATGAATTGAGTTCTGTCACCCTTTTATTTTTTTCTCCCTTCTCCCCACTCCATTTTTTCATAGGCTTTCCCTGCCATTCTTCATCTCCATTATTCCCTCCTCATTTTCTTATATAATTCTGTTAATAAGGAAGTTAAAAATACAAAGTTATTGGTGATGAATATGGATTCCTTTCTGAGGCATCCTATAAATGTCTTTTGATTATTTGGGGGGAAAAACGATCCATCAAATGGAAAGTATTCATAACATAGGAACTCAAAACACAGAAATGAAAAACAAAAAAAAAAAAGAAGAAACCAATACTGATTGTTTGTATTCTTTCAGGACACGTTGTCATGTTCGTCCTGGCCAACATCTCCAGGCTTGAGATGGGAAAAACGATGGTGTGACCTTAGGCTGATCCCACTGCTTCATTCACGTTTCTCTCAGTATGTGCCTGGGACAGACTTGAGTCGGTGAGTTCATGCCAGTGAGTTCTGATTTTCTGTTCACTGAAAAGAGGCCTGCAACCAAACTTTTAACATCATATGGCTTACGATTTCTATTCGCAGCGCATTTCTAATGGTAGCAAGAAGAACTAAAAAAAAAAAACCAATAGTGTAACTCAAACATTTATGAATCTGATGATAAAAGACATCCAGTTAATGCCCTGACTCTGCTACTAACTTGCTATAATGGATTCAGTGTCCTTAATGGATATGGTTTTATTGGGTTTTGTTTATTTATCTTAGTTTTAATGTTATTTTTTTCAAGGAAATTGTATAGTTCTTTTAGATAGCAGGATTTATCTTCATGTACTTGATACTATTCTCATATTATTATCTTTTTAAATAAGTGTAGACCCTAAGTGATGTCCTTTTCATTCTTGAATATTTTCCTCTCTTTTTGTCTTGGTGGTTTTTGCCATGGGGTTGTAACTTTTATTCATTTATTTTTTCAAAAGCCTAATCTGGGGTTTTGTTGAAGCTCTTCATTATGTGTATGTATTATAAATAATGAGTTTCTGCTTCTTTCTTGATTGCTTTCATTCCATAAGTTCTTAGGCTTGACTTTTTGTTCTAGTTTCTTGAGTTGGATGTTCTAGAGATCCAGAAACTTCTCTGTAACAAGTGGTATAGTAAATATTTTAGGCCTTGAAAGGCCTTAATATCTCTGGCACAACTATTGAATTCTGCCTTTGTTTCATGAAAACAGCCACAGACATTATATAAATGAATGGGTATGGCTGGATTCCAATAAAACTTTATTTATAAAAAAGGTGGCAGGCTACATTTGATCTATAGGCCATAGTTTGGCAACCTTTGGTGTGATCATTAATTTTTCAGACTTTCTTTGCTAATATATGTAGTCAGCAGTGCACGTTTCCATCAAAGTCTGCTTTAGCTATACTCACAAATTTCAGGATTATATCTTGATTTATTTGCATTGCTTTTGAGTGTATCATTTGGTATAGTTTTCTGAGTGGTTGCTCAAGGCACTAAAATATACATACAGATTCACATCACAAGTATTGATGATTTATCACTTTGAATGACGTACAGAAACATTACTTCCATTTAGTTTCCTGCATCCCCCCTACTTTGTAAGTATAATTATCTTAATTACTTATACAGATATCAAGCACCATATCAGGTGACATTATGGTTTTAGCTTCAGTCATCAGAAATTATCTTAAAACCTTAATGGAAAGTTATTTAAAGTTCTAAGCCTTCTGTTACCATTTCCTTCCTACTTAAAGTTGTTTTTTTTTTTTTTTAGCCCTTCTTTAAAGGTAGTTTAATAGTATCAAATTCTCTTAATTTCCTTTGTCTGAGAATATCTCTTTATTTTATCTTCATTCCAAAGGATAGTTTCCCTGGATATAGAAATCGGAGTTGATAATTCTTGCCTTATATCTGAAAAATGCTGTGCACTGCCTTTGCACCTCCCTGGGCATTCAAATTGGTGCTTCCCTGTGAATAATATGTTCTTTCTCTCTTGCTGTTTTCAAAGTTTTATTTTTGTTTTTTTTTTCTTTTTTGTTTTTGTTTTTGTTTTCAGAAGTTTAATTGTAATGTGTCTTTGCATGGATTTCTTTGGGTTAATTCTCTCCTGGCTTCGTTCAGCTTCTTAAATCTGTATGTTTGTGACCTTCAGCAAATTGTGGATGTCATTTTTTTAAATACTTTCTCAGTCCCAATCCCTCCTCTCTCCTTCTGTCACTTTGTTGATACAATGTTAGATCTTGCATTATTCTTCTACAGATCCCTGAAAATTAATATTTCTTTTTGAAAGTTTATTTATTTTGAGAGAGAAAAAGTTTGAGCAGGGGAGGGGCAGAGAGAGAGAGAGAATCCCAAGCAGCCTCCACTCTGTCAACATGGAGCCTGATGTGGTTCTCAAGAACCATGAGATTGTGACCTGAGCCAAAATCAAGAGTTGGACATTTAACCAACTGAGCCACCCAGGCGCCCCCTATTCTTCTGGTTTTAAGTCAATTTTCTTTCTGCTAAACAGAATGGGCAAATTCTATTGATCTATCTTTAAGTTCTCTGATTCTTTTATTTTTATTATTTTTAATGTTTTATTTATTTTTGAGAGAGTACAAGTCGGGGAGGGGCAGAAAGAGAGAGAGACACAGAATCTGAAGCAGGTTCCAGGCTCTGAGCTATCAGCACAGAGCCTGACTTGGGGCTAGAACTCATGTGAGATCATGACCTGAACCGAAGTCAGATGCTTAACCAACTGAGCCACCCAGGTGCCCCTAAATTCTCTGATTCTATCCTCTTAGTTTCCATTCTGCTATTGAGCCCCTTCAGCATGATTTTTTTGTTGGTGGTGGTGGTGTGTTTTTCAGTTTTATCATGTCCATTTGTGTGTGTGTGTGTGTGTGTGTGTGTGTGTGTGTGTGTCTACATATTCTTTTTCTGGCTGAAATTTTCTATTTTTTATTTGTTTCGAGAGCACTTGTGATTGCTCTTGAAGCACTTTTATGATGACTACGTTAAAATACTTTTCAGATAATTTAAACACCTTATTCCTCTCAGTATTGGTGTCTTTGGATTATCTTCTCTCATTGAAGTTGTGATTTTCCTGGCTTTGGTAAAACTAGTGATTTTTTTACAAATTTCATCCTGGACATTTTGCATATTAAATTATGAGATTCTGGATTCTCTATAGTCTCCTTTTCACAGCAGGCAACCCCTTTGTTGCCGTGTAGTGTGAGGGCTGGGTGGGTATGTGTGTTACACTCCCTGAATGCCTGCTCATACTACCTCGATGAAGATGACTGAAGTGCAGGTCTGTCACACCCCTCAGTCGCGCTCCCTAAATCCTGGTGAAAGTCAGATGCCAACCCCATCACACATCGCCCTTGAGTGGGGTGTCAACTTATCTCCCTGGTTGGCCCTGCTGCCCCCTGGGAGGGTGGGTGAGTGGGGCTGATGTTTGTGGCTTTGTAGCTATAGGACGTTGGTAGAAGCATCACTCTCCATAGTGAGATCCTGCTGACAGACAGGAGGAGACGGAGGGAAAGCCGAGGGAAGGAGGCCAACCTCCCATCACCTCACTACACCTTGGTGATGACAGGTAGGAGTGGAGGCTGAGCTTCCTGCTGAGCCATGGTAGTCAACATGGAGGAGAGGCAGAGTACTGATTCACCCCATCTTACACCACCTCACTCAGTTTAATTGCCACAGGGTGGGTGTGGGGATTGAACTTCCCACTGGACCCCACTGACCCCACTGACATTACCCCAAGGGAAATGGGAATGCTGCCTGCTTCTTCTAGGTGAGGATCAGCTTCCTGCTCGTCCCCTGGAGCACCACCAGCTGGGACAATTAGAGGATGCGTGGAAGACAGCCCCCTGCTTGGCCCTGCTGAAACCTGGGAAAAAGGGACACTGCCTCTCTTGATGCTTGATCGAGTTAGGACATGTTGCCAAAAAGATTGAATGCAGTTGGCCCACTCATGTCTTAGTCCTTTAGGGAGAACAGACTTTTCTGGAACCATTTTTTGTTTGTTTTTTTGTTTGTTTGTTTATTTTTGGTCTTGCTGTTAGTGATTCTGGATTGCAGACTTCTAGAGCACACAGTCTAGGATGTATGGGAGGCAATAAGAAACCCCGTGAGACTTACCACCTTGTTATTCCTCAAGTCCCTAAGTCCTAGGCCATCAGTCTTATCCTTTACCTTTCGTGGACCATCTATATTTGTTTTTGGACTATGTCCAATGTTTGTTGGTTTGTTAAGGAGCATTTGGGAGGAATGGGGCTATTCTGCCTTAGCCAGAATTGGAAAGCCACAAGTGTTGATATTCATGGATTTGTTTTTTTAGTATTCATTTAGTAATATTTTCTAATTTTTGTTACAATTATTTCTTTGACATGTGGACTGTCTAAAAGTGTGTTGCAGGATTTCAGAATATTTTAGGATTTTATACTTATCTCTTTTGTTATTGCTTTCCTATATAATTTCATGCTGAATAATTTCAATCCTTTGATACTTATTGAGACTTGATTTCACCCAGTATATGAATAGTTTTGGCAAACATTCCATATGCATTTGAAAGAATGTGTGCTGTCATTTACTTTAGTGCAGTATCATACGTATTTTAACTAGGTCATATTTTTTCACTAAGGGTTCTGATCCTCTGTATCATTAATGGTGTTATCATTAACGGTGTTTTTGTCTGTTTATTGTATGAGATATTGAGAAAGTGCATTTCAGTCTCCCACTGTGATGGCAGCTCTGTGTGTTTCTTCTTTTAGTATGTCAATATTTACTGTATACATTTAATTTTATATTATTTGATATAAATAGATTTAGAACTTTATGACTTTTTGATATATCACCCTTTTATCATTATGAAATATCCTCTATCTCTGAAACTATTTCTTGTTTTCAAGAATTACACCAAAGAACTACTGGCGAATATTTACGTTATATATTCTTTTATCCATTTCTTTCAACTTTGATTAGTCTTACTCTTCAAAATGTGTCCTTTCTAAGCTGTATATATTTTTTCTTGTATTTCTTTTTTTAATTCAAAATAACAACCTTGATCTTCTAGTTGGATTATATCTACCATCTTAGTATTTGTTTTCTGTTCAACACTTTCATTTTTTTTGTTTTTTATGATTAAACATTTTATCTTGAGATAACTGCACTTTCACATATAGTTGTAAGAAATAGAGATTCTCTTTACCCCCTACCCATTTTCCCAAATGGTGTAACTTCTTGCAAAACTGTAGTCCCATACCAAGTTCAGGAAATGGATAAAATCCACCACTCATTCAGAATTCACGTGTGTGTGTGTGTGTGTGCACGCGCGCGTCTGTGTGTGTTGTGTAATTCTACAGAATTTGTTCTCATGTTCACATTCTCTTATCCACCATCATAGTCGCAACCCAGAATTGCTCCAAGAGAACTGTAAGAACCTTTCTGTTACCTTTCTGTAACCATGTCATATTCATCCT